GAACCTGCTAGCACTAAGTTGCTAACTGGTTAGCAAGATGCTTCCACACAAACCGGCCACAACCAAACTTGCTTGCAAAACCACAACAATCCCGCCCCCTTGATAATCGACCAATCACATTCACTTTATTCACTCGTGTAAAGTCTGGCACCACTCAGGAGAATTCTGAAATGCAACGGTTGGAACAGCTGCTTCCCTACGACTTTAAGAGTTAGTGGCCTAGTCCGAGTCCAGAGCATGGACGTAGGGTTGTGGTGCTGGAGTTCCTGGTTTGTTTCAGATTAAGTTTGGTGTCTGGAGGATCTGAGCGTTTCCCACCGTTGTTTCTGGTCGGATCCGTCCACCTCTGCTGCCACTGGTTCTGTGTTTTCTCCTGCTGGCTGGCTGCTCAGTGTGAGGACCACCAGGTGTCCTGCTGGGTATTAAACCGTCTGGTTCTTCCACTCGCAGCTACAGGAAGGTACCGGGGGACAGCTGCAGCGGAGGAGACGTGGAAGCCAGGCTGGATGGAGAGATGCTGCCTTGTCCTGTCGGAGGTCAGTTCCTTTCTAAACAATCAAATGACCCATGTGCCTGGTTGCTTTATGCTGAGCCGTCTGCCGTGTCCTCACAGAGAGTAACGAGTTCATCCTGTACGCCGTGAGGAACTCCATCCACCGCTACGACCTGGCTACAGGCACCGACCAGGCGCTGCCGCTGGCCGGCCTCAGGGAAGCTGTGGCTCTGGACTTTGACTACGACAGGAACTGCCTGTACTGGGCCGACATCTCGCTGGACACCATCCAGGTCTGGATCCTTTGGTGCTCCGCTGAACTTCAGCTTCTCTTCTGCTGCTGCGTTGTTCACCGATGACGTTTCCATGTTCTGCTTCTCCTGCAGCGTCTGTGTCTGAACGGCAGCACGGGTCAGGAGGTCATCGTCAGGAAAGACTTGCAGAATGTGGAGGCCCTGACCTTTGACCCCATCAGCAGGCTGCTCTACTGGGTAGACGCTGGAGCCCAGAAGATAGAGGTAAAAACATTCATTTTTTAAAATTAATTTCCAATAAGAGTTTACAGAAACACGTTGACACGTACTACACCATTTGCACAATGAAGAGCAGGCAAACTTCGCAGCATGCACACATACTAAACAATTTATAACAATTTCAAAGAGTAAATACATAAAACGATAACAATGATTAGATTTATAAATAGTAATATAGACATAAAATGAATAAATAAAACTATTACACTCAATAGCCTTACAAATGAATAGAATCTACTATTGCTTAAGAAAGTACTTTAAAGGCGTCATAGAATGCAAACAGTTTCCATTGTAGATGAATAACGATAGTTCAGNACAAATGAATAGAATCTACTATTGCTTAAGAAAGTACTTTAAAGGCGTCATAGAATGCAAACAGTTTCCATTGTAGATGAATAACGATAGTTCAGGGGGTGAAATGGACGTACAGAGAAGTTCAAACCCATCAACTCCTCCTTTCTCTGCAAATCTCACTATTCTAAACTTCCACCATAAAACATGCAAATCCAAATGAAGCAACAAGTTGACGTAAACTCTGGGATTTGCCTTATTTGGTTCTGGCTGCACTTTTATCGTGCCCTGAAATGTACATCCAGACCAGTCCACTGGTTCAAGGCCCAGGAACATGAATAGAGGCAGATGGAAGACAGCAGTCTAGCCGTTAGCCTACAGTTGGTTAACTTCAACAATTACAAAGCAGGAAGTTTCTTTGTTGATAATAAGTCAGAACCACGGGAGGAAATGCAGCGTTCCAGGCTGACCGGAGGAAGGGGAACATTTTCACAGTCTTCCCAAGGATCCGAAGATTCGACAGGCATGGATTATTTTTATCAATCAGAAGATTCCTGCCAAGTTTGATGCTCAGCTGTTCATTTGCTCAAAGCATTTTACTGGACAGTTCAAAGCAGGATTTGCTATACTTTTTTTACTGAAACGAGGAGCTGTTCCCACCTTAAGGCCATCAGCACCGCAAGCTGGAAGGATGATTCTGTCGCTAAGCTGTTCATAGCAATGCTGGCATATCTACGGGGACCAGATTTGGGTTTCTGAAAAGGAGTGTGTGTGTGTGGGTGTGTGTGTGTGGGGGGGGATTGCTGGGCCGCTGACTGGACTGGACCGGGCATTCGAACCGAGCCTTGAGCTCCAGAGCTGCTCCGAACCCAACCTGGTGATGGTAGCCTGGAGCAGTGGCCCCGTTCTTCCCCCCGCCTGCTTTATCGCGCTTCCTAGTTGCCGTTGTCCAGGCTACCGTCCCCGGGTCGGGTTCAGTCGCTCAGTCCCCCGTTTTGACTACAAGCTACATGTACTTCACATACAGCCCTGGCTGCTGCAGACTGGCTAACGTTAGCCCGTCTATAGTAGCCCTCTCTCTGCATGTGAAGGACCGATGGCGACTTTTTTGTTTTATTTGGCAAATTGTTAATTTTATTTGTTTTATTCTGACTGTGTTCATCATTATTCCTCCAGTAAATGAAAAAAAAAAAGACTTTTAATAACAGGCGGTGAAAAGCAGCTCCAGACTAGCTTTGAATGTGGTGATGTCATCAGTACGCTTCTGTTCTAATTGAACCAGATTTATTCTGCGTTCTCCCGTTCTCCCCAAATCCAGACTTTCCTTGGTTCTTCTCAGGAACATACTTACTTCTTTACTTGTACCCGCGTTGTTGTGAATTGAGAAACGACCAATGACCTGTTGGCTTAAAAGGTGGCAAAGATCCAGTTACTATCCAAGGAAAACATGAGACCAACTGAAGCTCTGCAGTGTAGAAGATAAAATTCTGATTGAAGCAAAGTTTTCTAATGAAAAGCTCCTCTGGTTGATTGGGACAAATGGAAACCGCTTAAAAAACAAAAACCTCCCTCAGAGAGTCCGCGGACAGAGGTGCTGATTGTGGCCTTTTGCTGTTTGATGCAGAAACCTTCAATAAGCCTAAAGTTAGAAGGAAGAAGCTCAAAGATCTTCTCTTCTTTCTCTTCTTTCTCTGTCCTCTGGGAAACATGAATGCATCCTGTCCTGATTTTTAATCATGATGTAATTCTTTCTATCTCCTTATCGCTTCCTCCTTATCTCTGAAGGTTTCTAATCCTGATGGCGACCTGCGTCACACTCTGCTCAACTCCACCGTCCTGGAGCATCCGAGAGCTCTGGTTCTGCTGCCTGCAGAAAGGTAACGTCTGTGATTCTCTCTCTACAGCTACGGGTGGAGGGGGGGGATCTCTGCCAGGACCGACCGCTGCTCTGGCCGAGGTCCACTGATCCTATGATCTCAGCTGATTTGGGCTTCTTGCTACATCACGTGTTCAACAAGCAGCAGCGCTTTAAGGAGTTGGTGAAACTTCATTGTTTCATCCTGTGGTTAAAACTATAAAGAAGGCGTTAGGGGCATCAAAAACCTGCAAACACAGAAATCTGGACGTTGGATCAAACTGTGTTCAAGTTGCTTTGACTCTCTGACGCTCTGGTTGTTTATCTGCTCTGTTCTGTAGCTTCCAGCTAGAGAGCAGCTCGGCTTTATTCACTTTATGAGTTGGAAAAATAGTTTTAACACGTTTTTAAGAGAGAAAGTCCACCTCCAAACATCCTCTGTTCATCAGTTCACCAGGATTATAATCCCACTACAATCTGCAGTTCTTGTTGGGAGCTCCAGACCTCCAGCATACCGCTGGGAATCCCAGCTGAAAGCTCTCTGCTGCAGCCAGCCTGTGGGGGGTTTCCTGCTGCAGAACCAGAATATAAAATCCAATATTTTTCATCGGCAGGTTTTAACATTTCTAGCTATTGTGGGTTTTTATAAATTGTTTCTCCATAGCTGATAAAAAATGTTTTAGTGCAGCAATAATGATCAGAGCTGCTCTCTGTTCCTTCTACAAAACCATCCATTCTTCATGCTTTATTTTAACCTTTGGAGTTTAACTCCTTGATATTTATTTATTTTAATCTGCAGAAGCGATGACAGCTTGCAGGTAGAGTCTGTCTCCCCCAAAAAACTCCTGGATCAGTTTTTCTGATTGGTTGACGCTCCGGCGTCCAGCAGCAAAAGTTCAATTTATTGAACTCCAGCGTCGAACGCTTGGACGCTCAGACACGCCGCTGGATGCCTCAACACTGTCCCCATAGACTTTGCATGTAAACCAGAAGCTTTGAAGCCCAGGAGCTCGGTCTGGACGCAGCATAAGATTTATTTGATTTTATCTTTTTTTCAGCTTTTATTGTCTTTCCACTCTCAGCAGTACAGATAAAAACGAAACTCCCTCTCTGCATTTAGCCCATCCCCTTGGGGAGCAGTGGGATGCCATTGTGCGGCACCCAGAGAGCAGTGTGGGGTTAGGGGTCTTGCTCAGGGACCCAGAATACAGGCAGTGGGGATCAAACCGGGTACTTGCGACCTTCTCAGAGCACAGCGCACTGCTCTAACCACTAGGGCAACCCTTAAACTAATAACTAAAAAAGAACTGTTGCTGTCACTGTGCAGATTAGGAGGTAAAAGACAGTATGCTGTCTTCACAACACGTGACCATGTGAAGCTAGACAGCCAGCGAACAACATGAAAAAAGTTCTCCACACAAGGCTTGCTTTGCTTGCATTCTTTGAAGAACCTTCATTCAAAAATCTGGTTTTGATTTCCTTTTTTATTTTGTAACTGAAATTCACAGAAGAAAAAACTAATCACTGACTAATATTTGTATCTGAACATCCTCAGCACATTCTACACTTAGTTAGCTTCACTTTAACACAAATGTATCTGAGACATTTCTCATACTCTACACAAAATAATTTCAACACATATTCAAGAGTTTTCTGAGCAAAGCAATCCTTACAAAGATGAATATTTTCCAAGGCAGAAGCGTGTAGAACAACATTTAACTTCAACATGAACAGTTTCTGTAGCTTTCTGCTGAAACGGGATTTTTCAGAGAAAAATACGTCAAAGATATTTTCAATGTGAGAGCACTCACTACCTAACTTATTTAGCTTACAGCTCTGACAAAAACGAGATGTCTAACTCTGATTAATTATAAACCCAAACTCTTTTTAGCTGCTTTTTAACATGGATTTTCTTAGACTAATTTTAAACTATTAACTAATTCATTATCTCATTTATGTAACTAATCCATGCTATGAATTGGTTGCTGTCTTTTAACAAAAGGCATGACAGACAGTATCTGTCAGCATTAAGCAGAAATGATCTCGCTCTGCTTCACATCACTGCTTGCTGGGAACAGAAAATCTGTAAGCAGAAATATGGAAGAAATTCAATACTAAAAATAAAAAAGAAATGTTTTGAGAGTAACATTGCTGTTTCCTCATTTGATATTTTCTCTTTTTTGTCTCCTGAAATTGTAAAAAAAAAAATTTTTAAGAATATCTTATTTTTTTAAATTTCTTTTTGAGATTGAGTTTAACAGATCTAATTCTCTTCAAGCCCAATACAAACGCTCTTCACCAATTTAAATGTTGCTAAAGTCCAGCAGGCCAATAGAAATACATCATTCTAGAGTAAAGCCCGCCCCCAGTGAAAAACTTAATTTGAAAAAGAGAAATTAGAAAAATTATACATTTAAAAACAAGAAATTGGGGAAAATAACAAATTTACTTAAAACTTTTTTTCTGATAGGAAAAAAGGTTTTACAGAGATTTATTTCTAGATTTTCTTTTTTTATATTTCCATTTACAAAACTTTGCTTGTAACAAAAACGGAACAAAATTGACTCTATGTAAAGTAGAGCTGCATCTAATGATTATCGTGCTTACAGGGTTATCTGTCGATTATTTTTCCGTTTAATCGATTAATAATTTGATAGCAAAACGTTCCTTAAAGGATTTAAACCAAGTGAAACTAAAACATTTCTAGAACGGCGTACCTTAATAGAGTAGATTGACAGAAGAAAAATGTCTTTTAATCTTAAATGCTAAATACTTTAATAGTTTTTTTTTACAATTTCCATATAATTCCTGCTCTAAGTGGGTCTCTCTGTCAGCTAAAGGCATGTTTTAGAGTCTACGCTCCAGTTAATGATTGACCTAATATTAAACTAGTTGACGATTATTTCAATAATCAGTTAATCATGTTTAATAATGTTTAATTGATTAATTGGCTTTTAAGAAATACTTTTT